AGAAAAGGAGCTGGCATCACTGAGCCCTCAGACAAGGCACTCCTTACCACGATTTATAAAAGCCCATTCATCCCCCCTGTACCTAAAATAGCCTCTTGATGCAATCATGAGCTGAATATATGACTGTGGATTCCTTTCTTACACTTACAAGAAACCAAGTGTCCACTGGTTACTTCCTCACCCTCTGCCCTTGTTCTTTGTTCTGCAATCAAGTGTTGACCCTTTCTGTCCCATTCCATATTAGACCTTGTACTTCTTCAAACATCTTACAAGGAATTAGGTGGAGTTTCATAGTGTTTCTCCAATGCACTTACATGCTCTGTATGCAACCTTATGAAAAATGTACTGCAGCTGTCTATCATCAGCATTAAAGTAGGATTTCTAAAGCCTGTGAACGACAGGCAACTGCAGAAAGCTGCAAAGACTAAGCCTAGTGTCCAGATAAACAGAAACAATATCTGTTTGTAAGAATTACACAGATTTGTATCTTGCAGCTTGGGTGACTCACAACACTCCACTGCTCTTCCACTTCTTGTTTTTCCTCCAGAAGATGCTCAAAGCAATTTTCAGGTGTCTAGTAACTACCAACTTCCTTCTGAGCCAGGTCAGTGAGAGAGTTCCTGGGTACATGCACAGGGCAAGTAAAGTCAATATGGGAAGCTGTCCATAGAGGAAAATGTTTAAAATAAATTCAGGATCATGACCACATCACCAGTATCAATCGACATGTCACATCTTCCAACGTTATCACATTTATAAGTGGCTTTTCTGTCTTCTTCCCTAATGGATGTGCTTTCCTTTAAATTAGTTTAGACAGGAGCCAGCACGATGAGCCAAGTCTGCTGAATAAGGTCCATGAAATTCTGGTGCACATGAGCACTGTTTTAAAATCTGAAACATTAATGAGCACAAAAACTAGAAGTAACAGCAGTTTCTATCAGGTATTTGTTGAAATGTTGAGTGGAAGGCAAGAAGAAAAAGGTCATTTTTTTGGTTGAAATTTCATTAATTCTGGAAGAAGGTGTACTGTTGGAAAGAGGGGAGCATTGAGCCTGATGAGGTCAAACAAAGAATAGGTAAAATACTACTACAGAATCATAATACAAATGTCTTCTGAACTAGCACAATAGAGAAATAAGGGCATATTTCTTTATCAATCAGCTTAAAATGACAAATACAAGAAAAAAAAGAAGGAAACTGTGCTCTATTCAAAGGGCAGCAGATGATGCCAGACAATCAAGACAAAATCCCCTGTGTTCTGCTCACTGAAGACAGTTGGCATGTCCATCCCAGAGACAGTCCCATCTTTGGTATGAGCTGCCCAGCACTGGCTGGACAACAGCACCAAGACTTCCATGCAATACTTAAAGATGAAGGATATGGACTCTGACATTTCAGAAATGATGGAACCCACATTTGTGATTTCTCTTTGGAAAACCCAACCATTTCACTTCAGTCTCTGGGTGCCAGAGGAAGCATCTCAGACACTGTCCCCTCTGTGTCATAAGTGACCCAGTGCCTCACACACTTCTGCACTACCTGCGCTCTCTGTGAACAAGGACAAAACCTCAGTCCTGCAGGGAGTCACACTCATGTTTACAGGGACAGGTGCTATTCATTGAATAGCAGCAGCTGGCAATGGCAAAAATTCCTCTTTCACAAGCTTCTTTTGCCATCCTCTGTCAAAGAAGTAAATTGGTGCAATCTCACACCCCCTACATTTTCTGCAGACCTAACAGAAGTGTCACACTTCAGCAAGGTCAGCTCAGCTCTCACTGTACCAATACAGAGGATAGCACCTAGCTAACTTAGAAACTATCTCATAACAAGGCTATAAGTAAGTGAAGACCAATCTTATGAGATGCTACATAACAGCTGAAAAGACACCTTTTTCTTGCTGCCAAAAACACACTGTTTCTACTGTAAAACCAGGCAGCTGCCCTTATGGCACTAAACCAGTGCTACTGAACAGCTTGAAGCAGGAAACAAAAAGTATTCCACAGACACACAGTGTGGAAGGGTTTGTTTGCACAGTCACTGTTTCACTGTCACTGTAGGAACAACAAAGAATTTTCCCTAGGACAACACACCAAGGAGGGTGAAAAAAGGCATGCTGATAAAACGGCACCCTACAGCATCTATCTGGGGAAAAGATTCAGCAGGAGCTCAGGGCAAAGCCAGTGTCATCACTCTGAGCTAGTCTCCACCCAGAATGCCCCCTCCAAACACCAAGTCTCCTAACTGGCAAACCAGAGATTTCACTTCAAACTCTGATCTAGCCCTCTCTGCAGATTATAAATTAGAATACTTCTCCAATTAGAGATCAACGGTGGAATTAGAAGGTGGGTTATTTTTAGCAGCCAGCTGATTGAGCCAGTGCCACCGAGTTATAAGTGAGTCACCGCCTTTCTTAGAACTGTTTTAGGCACCAACTTCCAATGCAACATTTAGTATCTCTTCAAAAGCCATCATCTATCAGTCATCTCTGCCGGGAACAGAGAAAAGGGAAAGCAGCTATCACTCAGCCCAGAAGAGACTTCTTAAGAGCTTCAGGATTCTCGCACAAAGCCTAGAAGGAATTGCAAGGGGAGATAAAGACGTATAGGAAAGGCACAGCTATCTTCACACAGCAGCAAAGGCAGCCACATGCTGAGCAACCTGTCCCTCTGACAGCTGCCAAGCTGCAGTGGCATATTCTAAACACAGCAACTCAGTAGGCCCAGCAGCAGCACAATGCACTGTGCCATTGCTCACCAGGCTAAAGCATGACTTGGCCTCCCAGTGATTTTCTTCCTTTTTTTTTTTGGCACGTTCCAGTAAAGGAAGAAGAAAGAACACATAAAGGGCTCCGCTCAGAAACTCACCAGCTCTGCCCTGGCTCCCAGGGGCCGCTGAGGGCAAACCATGCATGGGAGAAGCTGGCCTGTGCCTCTGCATGTCCGTGGTCTAGCCTCAGTGGGATATGATGCACTGTCATGCTGCTTTCCATTCCTCTCCTCTGCTGACACGAACCACTTTCAGACTTAAAACTCAATGGCTTCCTCATCTTATTAAATTCCCTATTGTGACTCAGATGTCTCTTATGTACATTAGTTAGATTACATCAATCACAAGGAGTGCCCATGAGGTTCACAGGATATGGCTCAAAGGAGGACAGTCAGAGTTGGATGATCAGCTTGGAGTTTTCTTTCCTTCTTTGCAGAAGAAATAATGTCAATTACAACCAAGTGAGGGATACATATATCTCTCACAGGGTCTTGGGGAAAGCATGATAATACTAAAGTACCAAGGTACAACTGGCAAACACACCTTGCCTGAACAAAGCGATGCCCTGGAGCAAAGCCATACCTGCAGCCTCCCACAAGCCCTGAAGCAGGCACAGCCTGTTAAGAGAGGCTCCACCAGACCCATGCAGGACTCAAGCTTACATACGGCAGCTATGGAAGACCTGAAAAGTCAGCTGGCAGGAGCCAACCAGCAGGATGCCTCCTGGCATCACAGGCTCACCAAGTCCAAGTGAAGCACCTGTAACACTGCACAGTGTGAAAATGCAGATGGGAAAAGTTCCCAGTGGGCATTCAGAGATGGCATGTGTCCCAGGTGACAAGAAGAGCTCAAGTACACAGAGAAAGCAGGCTATCATAATAAATGTCTAACGCACACAACAGGAGACCACAGTCAAGAGACAAATGCATGATGGATGCTCCTGTGTAAAAAACTGGTCCTGACTGTTTCTTTGTGCTCAGACTGAACTGCACAATGTTGTGCTCGCTTCTTGCCAGGGTATCACTGAATGAAGATTTCTCATTCCTTTCTCTTAATGCTGTACTTGGAGAAGCTGATATCAGCACCACTGGTGAACAAAAGCCTATGCCTAGTGCAGATACCAGTATCTTAGGGTTCCCGAAACACCACACGCTGACCATGGAAGACTCAGATCCCAGGAAGAAGAAAACCAACAAAAGACTATGCAGCATATATCACACCAACCCACACTGTATAAGTACGAGGCACTTAGGCAACCCTGGTACACGGCATAGAGCTCCGGCAGCACTGACTCCTGCTTTGAACACAGAGATTTGAAGATGCAGCTCTAGTCTTTCACTTGCAGACTATCTACTTAGAAGCAAAGCCACATACCTCTTTGTAAAAAAGTAACTGGATGGATCATGAAAGGTGAAAGAAGAATAATTTTGAACTTTTAGCCATTTGATAAATACAACAGGGTCTTGCAAACTTCACTTACTCAGAAATTTGCCTGGAAAACACCACACTGCAGCTTTCCTTCCCTCTCAGAAAGATACGTAAAAAAGCATCTCACCTCTAAAATGCCTCAGAGCTGCAGAGCTCTTCAGGTGTAGCAGAGCATGGTTCTTTCTCACCCACCTGCCAAAGCATGTAGCAACTTGTACAGAACAACACAGGGCCCATTCAAGCCTTGCAGTTTTATAAGGAAAGCAACTTAGTGAATGTTTTCACAACATTTGAAAGACTTAACTCCAGGGGTCTTACTCAGAGGTTATCCTCTCCTTTCACGTCTGACTCTAGAAGAAAGGGTACAAAATAGCTGACCACCACTGTTATGTGAATAACAGAAATAAAACACATTCTTATGCAAAGAAACTGCTGAACAGCAATTGCATAGTTTTCACACCCCAATGCAGAGATATTTCAACAATACAGCCTTAACACACTGCATAAGAACACCAATCCTGTCTGAAGGCTGAAATCTGATCTCTTTTATTGGCTTCTGCTTTCTTATGTCAAGAGCAAAGTTAAACCTCCCTTCAATTTTTTTAATCAAACTGAGCTGCATCTTTTTTCTTGTTACCTCTCAAGATCAAGCCAGCCTGACAAGTCTCCTGTAATTTTACAACTGAACCTCTCCTCCTTCCACCCCCTTATGTTATCAAACATTAATTTTGTGAAGAGGCTGCTGCACAGCGCCAATTCTAACTCAGCAGCAATTCTTAAGCTTTTCCCCCAAGCTTTCAAAATACCTTGCAAAGAAAGGCAGCTATCCAACGGGCAGAAGAATTGGCACGCTTATAGCTTGTACTCTGGTTGTCCTGTGGCTGCAGCATGCCAAGTGTCACCCACTTATGTGGACTGTCTTTTGTCTCAAAAAAGTGCTATCTCCGTGAGCTTCTGTGCAGGGTGAGGCTGCAGCCTTTGGCTGTGACATTGCAGCTTATTTTCCCTTCCTCCTGTGATGCCTGCTGTTTCAGCAAATATCTGACATTTGGCTATCAGGTTCAGAAGTTACTAGCATGCGATTGCATAAGCACATTTCCTACCAAGAAGTGGGCTATAAACCAGTCATCAAAAAAAACCCCAAGAGCATTACAGTAGGTGGGCCAGATGATACCTGAGCTGGGAGAGATGCACGGTAGGCAAGGTGAGGTGGCCTGAACCAGAAAATATAGGCTGAAAGCAGGAACAAGACTCAGATTTCCTGTCTCTTGTGACAAACCCTTAGCTGCAAAGTGAACTTCCTTCTTCCTTAAGAGAGCTGTGCAGACTTATGTTCTCTTTGCAGCAAGACACCATCTAGTTGTGCATGCATTTATGCTGCTTGGAACAATAAAATCCTCTCTCTGAGAGTTTATTTTCAGTATCAAAGATCAGCAGTTCCTCTGCAAGCTTGTAGTCTACTTGTTTTATTATATATTACTTATGTGTATGAAAGCACATACATATATACACACTTCTTACACTGAAACAGTTTGAATATAAATGACTGATTACGGACAGAGCTAGAGGAAAACCACTGACAGCAAGTGTTCTTTCTAGTCCTGGCACCTCCAACTGAGATTTGGCAGGCAGGCTCTATAGGAAAATGACCCCGAAGCTATGATGACGATAATCACACTCAAATGGACAACACTTTGGATGCAGATCTACAGGGAAAACTCATTTCACTTAACAGAAAGGAAGGAAAAATCAAAAACTTCTGATAACCCTCCCAGGCTGCTCCCATATATATTCTGTACTGTTATAATATACTGTAAACTACAACCTCATGCTTCTCACACTGCTCTGAAATGTCAGGCTTTACTGGACTCATTAAGAACTGAAAAGCTACCACCAACTTTCACTTTCTATCTATCATAACAGAGTTCATCGAGCTGTTCAGCATAAGTCCCCTAAGAGCAGTTTGCTGAAGGCAACCATGATAGAGAGAAAGGCACAAAACGACACTCAGAGGGCAAGATGAGGCATCTGCAAGAACCCCATGCTATAACATGGTCCATGGTATGAAAGCACAGCAGAGCTCTACAGGGCTTCATGACTTCATGTTCCATTCCATCCATCCATCTTCCCATATTATATAACACAAATATGCCACATTTTTCATTAGCCTTCCTCTTCTGACCAATGCATTTGCAGTTACAAGAGATTATAACAAGGATTGGCCTAATAGTGAATCATCCTCAATAGCACACTGTGCTTTTACAACTAGAAATAGAGGGATCAGAGAGATTAATCCTCTGTCCTGGATGACACAAGGAGCCAGTGGCAGTGAAAGCAAATATAAACAGTCACAGGAGGTCCTTCATCCAGCAGCTCCCTGGGCTTTGAAGGAGATGGTGTCAGCAGGAGATGCTTTATGAAGTTATTGGGAATGACATTAAAGAAAGCAATTCATGCACCCATCAGAAAAGACACTCTCATGAACAGTCCATGTGACATCACCTGCCCGCAGGAAGGTAGAGGCCAGGTTCACACCCACTACCATGTGAAGATCTCTACCATAGTAAGAGTTGTCTAACATTTTCTCAGAGTTTCATTAGTGATATAAAGCAATTTGTCATGGGGAACCTGCTGCTTCCTGTTCTATAATATCATTCAAATGGCCCTCTAAAGGCAAAATTCTTCTGTCAAAAGTAGACCTGTCACGAAGGGAAGATGTGTGGATCCCCACTACTGCACCTGTGTACGTTCCTGGGTAACAGGAGACTGGAACCCAAAACCCAGCTCTGAACAGCAGCACGTTTCCCATCCTCAAGCTGCACTGATGGCACAGAACTATTAGCAGCAAGTGAGTCAGTGACAAATTATTCTGGTCATTAGAACCAGCAAATCAAACCCAGGGGAAGACTATCTATCTGTTAAGAATTGCCACCCTTATTCCTACAGATACTCCTCCCCCCCTACACAGAATAAAGCAGAACTGAAAAGCTTGTTGAAAACAAAGTAGGTGAGAAGAAGGGAAGCTACAAGTCTTGGTTTACTTTTCTAAAAAGTAGCAACATTGTGTGTAACCTTGTATGCACAAACACACTTGTGGTCTGTCACCCTGGCTCCTTCTGTCCTTCCTCCCTTCCTCTCTGTATCAAACTGACCTCCTTGGTCAGGATTCAAAGAGAAGTGGTTCCCGACCTACAGAACAGTTCAGAACAGGGCAGAAGGCAAACTACCTGCTCAGGGAACTGCTGGGAATGCTTTGTTCCTTGAAACGAACCTCTTATCCTTACCTGTCTGGAGGTCTCTCAGGCAAACTCCAGAGAGGAATCTATTTTAGAGGACAAGCAGTTGAACAGCCATTTGCATGCATCTTTTCCCCTCAAAGCAGCCCAACTGGCCAGCTGGGCACAGAGGGAAGGCCAGCGTTTCCCATTCTCTGGGGAAAGAAACTGCAAGCACTGGAAACTCTTGATGGTTGAGATCTCTGTGGCTGTTTGTGAACTGTCTGGTGATTAATTACATTTAAGAATAACATCGCTCTTAAAGTCTATTATTAATTGCATTGAACAGCTGAAAAACAAACAAAACAACCAAAAAAACCACCCAGCACTTGCAAAGACACAATGTAATCTGTTAAGTGGTTGTTCAGTGCTTCACAGGAATGCAGTTACATGGTTACATTGCTTGATAAAAGATCTGTAAAAGTATTGTGGGAAGCACTGAAGGAGAATCTTCCTTGGAAACGAGTTCTTTGGCCAAGTGGTCTTTTCAGGAAAGGCTGAAGGACACAAATAGTAACGCTGGCCCTGACTCAGTAAAGAAGCAAAAATCTGGAGATGCAGAACTTCACTACCAGCAAATCCCACCCAGCAAGTCTAACATAAGCTCTGCCACGCCGTGCGGGCTGCCACCAGACCACAGAACATCCTGAGTTGAAAGGGACCCAGAAGGACCATTGAGTCTGACTACAGACCTCTGAAGCCAACAAACAAGTCAGTAAAACAGAAGTCACAGTAAGCTCTGCACAACTACCATGAACATGGCTGCTTCCCTATCTTACTACAGAAATTCCTTTGCTGAATTAGATGTGTGGTTTATGTGGTTTGCTTGTGCTACTCCTGCAGCAGCTCGCACTACATCTTTCAGAAATGAAAGCAGCAGAGCAGACAGTAATACCACAGCTTGTTCCCCAGGAAAATTCCCCCTCTAATACCATATGGCCTAGACTTGATATTTTCCCAGAATTTTAGTTTTCCATTCTTTAGAGCTTTCTACAGCTTTGCTAATCACTTATTGTATACACAAGTGTGGTGGGTTAAGTTAATTTAGCATATCCTGAAGTGACAAAAATGCCATTTTCCACAGAAGTGGCCACAAACTCAACACATGTAATTTTAAAAAATCGTTGCCTTACCAAGTCTTACTCTGAAAAACCTTATGTTGCCTGGAGCACACTACCCAATTAGACAAATTAATATCCCATTTGTTTTAGACACAAGGGAGGAAGCAGTGGGTGTGAAATCCAGATGAAAGCAATCACTTGGAATTACAGGAACTTCCTTATTCTCCAGTATGCAAACCCATGAGAGCATGAGGAAACAGCTATCCAGGAACAGATAACATCTTCGGGTCCTACGAACCAATCAAACAAAACGCACGGCCAGAGATGACCTATTTTCCTAAGCAGTGTTTCAAAAGAGGATGAGCAGTTCAAGGGTCTCAGAGGCCAGAGCAGCCATAATTAAGAAAACAAGACAGTATTTCCACAAGGGGATTTGGCTGAATTTGCTGAGTGTCTTATGTTCTGCTTTGCTGCTTGCAGAAGTTCTGGATGGCCAAACCTTTCTATGCAAACCGCGATTAAAGTTTTGGGAGTCAGTTTTCAGAGACCCAGATGATATTAACCTCTGAAATCTGACGGAATTTGGGCATTTGAACCATTTCCTAGCATTTCTTTAGAACGTACTAGAGAAACACACCATGCTTTTTGGAATGTACAGCAAGAATCAGGTGAAAAAAAGCAGAAGAGAGACTTTTCCTAAAAGGTGCCATGACAAAAATGCAGTGCACTTGAAACAACAGCTCTCTATCTGCAAATAAGTTATACTTCTTCCTGCCTCTGTTCCACCTCTCTCTGCAGCAGAGGGGAAGTGCCTCCCCATCTTGCCAACTGCATCCAAACTCCTGCAGAATGCTGAGCTCTGCCACAAGCTGACAGAACTAATGGCACCCAGGTTCCTTCAAGCTCTGCCCATCACAGCCTATTCATTTGGCAGAGGAGCTCAGCAACCACCTATTACAGAATACTCATGAGACACTTCCACAGGACCAAGAGCTCTTTATGTAAAACTTACACAAAACAAAATAAAAATCATAAATAGTGGTACAGTCATTGCTGTCTGCACATCTCATAGCAAATGGTCATTCTCACTCGAGGCTCCAACAGCCATTTACGAAGCTGGCTATCAGTCACCTCAGGACTGACTGCTTTTGACAGCTATGATGGGAAAAACTAAGAGCATAAGACTCATTTTCCTCATGCTGCAGAAATTGTAAGGAGAACCTGAGCTCCTCCCCTGGTCAATACTACTGGAAGCGGCCACGCTCCTACACCAGTCTGCTTCCTCCACTAATAACAGTGCTTGGAACAGCAATAAGGAAACCAGGCTGGCAGAGAAGAGAGTTCGGCGTGCTGCCAAAGCAGGTGCTGACAGCCTCAGCAGATGGACTCCTTTCACCGTTGGACATGGGAGAGTTGCCTGTCCAAAGGGTTAGACTGCAATAACAGAAATTAAAAATCCCTCATCCTGTAGGGAGCTGTACTTCCTCATGACAGTTCAGACTGGGCTAAATCAGCCAGGAGACAGGTGGATTTCCTAGTGCTAGAATGGTAACTGCTTCATTTGGCTACCTCCACCAGCCTTAACACAGGCTGAACTATGAAAAACGTTACAGCTTTTATTTTGATCTATCAGCCCATAACAGAAACCTGGCCCTTTCCCACCAGCTTACCTCTATGAGCACACCTGCTGACTAGAGCTAGCAGAAGGACAAGTTAACGAAGAATCCCTAAACACCACAACAAACAACCAGCAAATTCTGAACTTTTTAGGTTCCCATCGGATGTAACCAAAGTTACACAAAGTCCCCAGTGAAAAGACAGTCGCTCAGTCTTCATTAGTCCTATCAGTCCCAGCAGCTGCAGCACAGTGACATCCCAGGGAAGGTCTGGCTCTGACAGCACAGTGCCAGGCTTGCTCCAGGCAACCTGGCATCAACAGCTGGGTCACAGCTCCCGATGTTCCACAGCAGGCACACACCCTTAAGCCAGGATCCTTGGTGTTCCCAGCTGTCCCGCTCCAGATGCAAGCTCAGCACAACACATCAGTAGGAATTCAGGGTCATTGACAGGTATCAACAGAAACAACATAGGCTTGATAAATAAGCATTTTCCAAAGAAAATTTTCCTCTGCTAATCCGTGGCAGATTCAACCCCAGTCTGGCCTGACGCTACTCAAACTAAAGGCAGACGTTCTCAAAGCAAGCTGCTGTTGCTGCCAGAGCAGCTCCCTACCGAGCTGTTGCAGCGGGGTTGCTGCGGGCTGGCCCTGTTCAGGGCCACACGCACTTTGCCCGTTCCAAAGGCGGTGCCACGGTTTCTTTTTCACACTGCAGCCCGAAGCTCGGCTTCGTACGTTCAGCTTTTAGCCTGAATCGCACTCACGGCGTGCTGAAGTTAGCGTTACGCTCGAGAACAACCCGAGGAGTACTTTTATCTGCTCCCAGCTCCTAGAGGCATGAAAGAATTCGGGCTATTTCCCCGCCTGTCACTCAGCCGCACGGCTCCGTACGGTCGGGTTATGACAGCACACCTTGCGCAAAGTTTTCACTCCGCTCGCCTCCATTCCACATCGCTACCAGAACGAAAATTCACGTCGTCTCCCAAAACAAACGCAGCGCAAAACCAGCGCCTCTCCCACCCAGCTGATCGGCTCTCGTTTCCTCCCGAGCACCGCTAATACCTCCAGCGCCAACGCGCCGCGAGACGAGGTCAGGCAGAGCAGACAAAGCTGGCGGCAGCGGGGAAAGCCTCTTACGGCCGCACCTGGAGCCGCTCCCGACAGCGCCCCGCTCCGAGGGCCGCTCGGCCGCCGCCTGTTGCTCGCCGCCACCTGCGGGCGGAGGGCGCTGCCGCGGGGCCGCGGGCGTGGGACGAGCGGCCCGGCCCCTTCCCGTGCCGGAGCCCGGAGGAAGCGGCGGCTCCCCGCGGTCGGGGCGGCGGCCGAGCCTACCTTGGTGCCCCGCGCAGGGCCCGGGCCGGCGGCTCCTCCTCCGGCTGCGGCGGCGGCTGCTACTGCTGCCCATGCCCGCGCCGGCAGGCGGCGAGCCGCGGCTCCGACGGGCCGAGAGCGGCCGGGCTCCCGCGGGGCTGGGGCAGCCCCGGCTCCCTCGCCCGCTGTTTACGGCGGTTCCGCGGCCGGCCGGGCTGCCCGTCACCGCTCCGCCCCGCCCCGGCCCGCCCCCGCCGCCATGGCCCGGAGGAGGACGGGGAAGCGGGGCGGGACGGGATGCTGTGCTCAGTCTCCGCGCGCGGGGGTCGCCTCGCGGCTCCAAGCGGAGCTGCCCGGCACCTGTCTGCAGCAGCGCGGCACCGCCGCGGGAGCGAGGGCGGAGCGGAGCCTGGAGGCCGGGGGCAGCGGGGCGACGGCGGCAGCTATTTTATACTTATGTTGCGTGCGTTTCGTCATTTCTTCCCGGAGACAGAAACGGATAACGAACGTCTGCTTGTTATGTGCTGGAACAGGTGAACGACACTTAGAAAAAAAGTAAAATGAGGGTTTTGCGACGAAGTGCTGAGGGACGGATCTTCTCTGCCCAGGCTTAGTGGGAGTGAGTGAAAAAGCGAATAAGGCAGCAGCAATGCCCCTGCTCCTGCCTGCTGCACGGCGGAGACGCACCGGACGGCAAACAAGAGCACCTGACACCATACACGAGTTCATTCCCTGAACCTGGTCAAAGTATTTCATCTGTCTGCACTTGTTCACATCGAATCTACAGGGCTCCAGAGAGACAACACTTACCCTTAGTATAGTGAGAAGGTGTACACAGGGAGCAGGGCAGCCCCTTCCAATGCTGAGCACAACCACCCCCCAGCACAACACACATGCTGCAGTGGGCTTTCAGGCCCAGAGGTGCTGGGCTGACGTTGTCACTGTCTCAGCTTTAGGGCCAGAACCCCCTGCAGTGGAGGAGCAAGACGCTCCACCTACAGAGCATGCAGCGCATTGTCCTGAGAGGAGTGCCTGCAGCTCCTGTTCAGTCCTATGCGGTCAGAAGTAAGAAGGCAGACCTAGCTTTCATCGCCTTAGAAGACAGGGTTGTTTCTGCGCGATGACAACCACGTCCTGTCAGCAGGCAGCGTAGTACAGTCCTACCTTGTAACGAGATCCATGCTCAGCCGTGCCACTGGCTTACCTTGAGGCTTCAGGGAAGTCTCAGAGGAGACTGTTCGCTTCCCTCAGATGTTCAGTTCTCTTTGCTTGACTCATTTCCAGGCTGTGGTGTTACCTTGTGCCATGTGCCAGACCAGGACAGGGGCTTGTTGACACAGCGCAATGGAAGCAGAAATTAAACTGAGATAGGGCTGTACAGAGGGCAGACCTTCCAGGATACACAATAACAAATGCTCAGGCCTGAACTGAAAGAAGACACCACAAGCCATCAGGAAAAAAAAACCCTTAATTGCCAACAAAGCAAAAGTGCCTGAATTCCTTTGCAGACAGATCTAAGCCCTCCCTGTGTTTTGTGATTTCTATGTTTCCCCTAACCCTGCCTAGTACTGTAAGCACACTGCTGTTACAGAAGGTAAAAACTCTGCAATAATGCTGTGACAGTCAGGACCAACCTCCATGCTGAGGAACGCCACTAGAAACACCTTCCTGCAGGCCTGACAGAATCACAGAATCATTAAAGTTGGAAAAGACCTCTGAGATCATCTAGTACAACCATCAGCCCCTTCACACCATGCTCACTAACCATGTCGCTCAGTGCCATATCTCCACATTTTTTTGAACACCTCCAAGGACTGTGCCTTCACCATTCTCTAGGAAGCTTGTTTCCATATTTGACCACTCTTGGAGAACAAATTTTTCTTAAAATCCAACCTGAAACTCCCCTGGCACAACCTGAGGCCATTCCTATCACTTTATCTGGGAGGTCACCCCATCTCACCACAGCCTCCTTTCAGGGAATTGTAGAGAGCAATAAGGTCTCCCACTTCTGAAGACTGAAAAATCCCAGTTCACTCAGCTGCTCTCCATTACATTTGTGCTCCAGACCCTGCACAGCTTCCTTTACCTTCTCTAGACACACTCCAGGGCCTCGATGTCTTTCTTGTAGTGAGGGGCCCAAAGCTGAACACAGTACAGAAGATGTGGTCTCACCAGGGCTGAGTACAGCCCCAGCAGAAAGTGCAAACAAACACCTTTACAAGTATTTTCCTCCAAATTTACAACTTATTAAAAAAAAAAAAAAAAAAGGAAGAAAGAGTTTAAGCTGAACTCTATTATTAAATGGAAAACTTACATTTTTCCCTCTAGCCTTGCTGACAGTTCCAGAAGGACACAAATGTTTTCAAAACAAACAAGCACAAAGAAAGAGAATACCTCCAGCTTTGCTGCTGGAGAATCACTGGCACAGGTAAAATTGTAGCAGAGCAATACAGGCCTCCAAATGCATGTCACGCTTAGCTGGGAGAGCAACAGGTCTGCAGGAGGAGCTGCCCCGCTGCCCTGCAGACAGGACATGCACTGTGAGCACACAGATGAGGCCTTTATAAACTGTCTGCCAATGACAGCAAGCGCAATTTGTTAAGTCACAATCACAGAATTGTCCCCTGTGCCCACAAGGCTCTGGTTCCCTCAGGAGCAGCACGGCTGTGACATGCAGCTATTAATGCTTTTGAGAGTACTTTTTAACTTTTTTTGCAGAGACCCCGCATGCTAAAAAATACACACTGTGTGTTCTTCTTTGTCTTCAGTTAGGACAATACAGACAGTGCTTCTTACGTGGAAAAGCGTCACTGCTTTTTCCTAGATAATTATAAACGATCTTTTTATTCCATGATGTTGGCTTGAGCACCTGCATGTTCCCATAGCAACTCCTCATGACTTAAGGGATTACTTCAGAATTCCACTGTGGTTTGGGTCTCCAAAATTATTCAGATTTTCTGGGGAAAAGCTGTTTCCTGATACAAACTAAAATTATTGCTACCATATATTTAATGAGCCATACAAGTCAGCTGTGTTATTATCTTAAGAAACTGAAGTATTTTCTTGCATTGTTCCATACAAAAACATGCCATATTGCAGCAATAATTGCAGTGACATAGCCATCAGGGACTTGGGGCTGGAAGCAGCCCCAGACATCTTGCAGAGGATTACGCAAACTGATGGGGGACTAATTCCCATCAATCCTTCTCAGCCCCAAAAGACCCCTTGCAAAGAACAGGCAGGTGTAAGCCCCCTCCATGCGCTCATAAATGCTCATTCAATTCACACTCATGTCCATCCCCTCTCCCATCAGTGGCAATTAATGTTACATGTAGAGAAGCAGATCTATTAGACTGGATAATAACACTTGATGAATATGAAGCCTTACACCCAGACAGCACCCTGTCAGGCTGCTAGGAACACGCATGCTCATGTACTTGCATGTGCAAATATGACACACATGCAGATTACAGAATAGCTTGATTTGGAAGGGATCGCAAAGATCATCAAGTTCCTGTGCTTCTGCCACAGGGGATGGTCACCAACCTCCAGATCTGGGACTAGACAATGCTACCATCCACCCTGGCCTTGAACAGGGATGGAGCATCCACAGCTTCCCTGGGCAGCCTCTTCCAGAACCTCACCACTCTCTTGTAAAGAACTTCCCCCTGACATCCAATCTAATCCAGATGAGACAGGATATACTCCCAAGTTTTACTTCTCTCTCTGACAT